GCCTTATCAGGACGAGGAGTTAAATTTCTTCAAGTTCGCGTCTCTTGTGCTGAACGAATTTCCAAAAGCATTACGGCAGAAATTTAAAACCATGTGGGACGACACCTATGGACATCGCCCTGGTTTCAAACTCTGGGATGATTCCTCTGCTGTGAGAAATTTGTTTGCTTCTTTGGAGGGAGACAAGAACAAAGTTCCTATTCACACTTCTTACAATGAATGGGACTGCACTGCTCTTTTTCAAGCAACCATTTACGCGCAGTCGTTCCCTTGCGGCCACTCTTTCACTCTTAGTGATTTGTACCTGAAGCCTTTGGCACTACCTTATGATTCTTTCCATGCTTCAGTCACGAGCCCGTGTGGTAACGAAGAAGAAACTCTTGCACTTGCGATTGACCAGCTGCGACTTTTAAGAAATTCGCTTTGTCACTCAGTTAGATCTTTGATGGACAAGAGAACGTTTGATGAGAGAATGAAACAAGCTAAAGACGCGTTCACAGCCCTCGGAGTCGCCACAGACCTCCTCGATGCCGTTGCCAGTTTGGATGAGTCACATTTTCCGACCAATGAAGTTCATACATTAAATAAAAAAATCAGAAAGGAATCTCAAACGTGCGTCCAGATGCTTGAGGATGTAGTTGCAAATGTTGAAGAGTGGAAGCGCGACACCGCTACCAAACAAGATATCGCCATATTGTCACTGAAGATTGACGAGCTGAAGGCAGCTCAGGAAATACGTGAGGCTAATTTAACAGGTGCACAAAGTATGCCTACAAAATTCTTACTAAAGCAACATTTTGGAAAGATTAAGGGGGTCCACATTCCGGAATGAGCAAAATTTTTGCTTGTGAATTCCGGAATCCTAGGCTTTGGAATCCGGAGGACAGTTCAAAATATCCGGAATCCGAATAATACCGATTGGAATCCAGAATCAGAGTTCCACTGACAGAGAATCCAGAATTTATTACATGGAATCCATTAAGACTGTCTTGGATTATCTTAACTGGGGCGAAATTTTTTCTATAACTAGTTTTTTAAAGTGTTACCTCTGCTCCCCCACCTTCCCAGTAATTGGGTCCCTTACGTAGCCAAATACAAAAGTGCATTGTGGCTACCGGGGTAAATTTTAATAGGCATATCATATCGGGTAAAAACGAAACATCATTGTTCCGTGTGAATTTGTTTTTCCTTTAAGCTAATTCTCTTTTTTGCAGTTTTTCAATCACAGTGTCATAGAAATGGC